ACTGTGGACACCTTCTCTGGTTTTATTTGGGCCACTCCACTTAAAGGAGAAACTATTCGTCATGTGATACAACATACCATCCATTGTTTCACCGTTATGGGATGACCACTTTCCCTCAAAACTGACAATGGACCTGCATATGTTTCATCTGCCTTTTTAACATTCTGTAAAGACTGGGGAATTAAGCTTACTCATGGGATTCCCTTTAATTCTACTGGTCAAGCTATAGTAGAACGTGCTCATTTAACTTTCAAATCTTTGCTTTCTAAACAGTTGGATAGCAAACATGTTCCTGTTGCCGATATACCTTTTTGTGTTGCTAAAGTATTGTATGCTCTTAATCATCTTTTTTATCCTCATAATAGGAATCTGACTCCTGTTGAGGTTCATTTTAGAACACAGGAGCAGCTTCCACGTCCTTTGGTCTCCTACCGTATCCCACCGGACCCTCAGTGGCATGGTCCCGCCCAGCTCATTACATGGGGACGCGGATACGCAGCAGTAGAAGTGGACGGAACACCTCGTTGGATTCCTGCTCGCTGCGTTAGGCCATGGCGATCCGAGAAGAAATAATAGTACTCTGTTTCATAGTTGTTATTAGTGTTTTCTGTTACCCTCATGAGGGACAATTATTTCATGAAAGAGACTGCAATGTGTTCATTTGCCTAGTAATTCCTTTTTTGATACCCAGTAATTCCTTTTCTGATGGATCTTTTATTAGTGTACCCCTACCTGCATGGACGTCTACTGTCATCAAACCCACGTTCTCATTTAACACTTTTTACTCTCTCCTGCTAAGGGGGGGAGAGTGAAACTATAATAACCTTTTACAACTTTCAAACTTTATAGAAGTTATGTTTAATGACACAATACGTGCCTTTAAATTTGTTAATGTTAAACTTAAAAAAAGAACTTCGCACTGTAACCTTACAAAACTGATAAGCTCTCGATTTTATCTTAGCTAGTAAAGGTAGTGTTTGTGTCTTGATTGGTGATGCTTGTTACATCTATGTTCCTGATCATTCTTGATATTTCTTAAACACTTTCTGACATGGAACATCACATTACTCAATTCAATTCGGTGTCAGGTTTTTCCTTTTGGGCCTTCTTTTAGTCATGGCTACCATCATTCGGTTTTGGATGGCTCCGACAATTACTTATGTACTTCGTTATTGTTGTTTGTGTTCTCGTATTGAGTTGTTGCTGCATACAGTGTATTCCAAGCTTGATTCACACATTTTGTAATTGCCTTGCTCGTGCTACTCCTACCTCCTCCTTAGCCCTGTAGCAATTATATCAAATCCGTTACCATGTGCTTAATACTGAACCCCCTACTCCAGATAAAAAACCGTTTCTTAGTTCTTCATGCCTTTGTCATAATTCATTGGACTCAGAATATGTACGAGTATTTAATTGGCAATGGCTTCTAAACAAACTAAAATAAAAACGGAGATGTGGGAGTACGCCATTGTGCTTAAGCGAAGCAGTTACGTACACCAGCAAGATAGGAATCTTATGTTCTTTACCCATATATGGTAATGTTGTATAACCATTTACATGTGCAGTAAGATATGTTATGTAAGATACGTTATGTAAGTCCACGTACTTTATTGTGATTGGCTGTGTAACCTCTGAATTGCATTATGGGAGAAATTAAAAAAGGGCTACGGGCGAGCGGAAAAACTCTCTTTTCCCTCAAGCCATAATACACCACGGCTGACCATATCGCTCCGGAACCCAATCAACCCAAATTTTTGCATACTGTGTGATTCTTCCACACCTGTATGGCGGCCGGACCGCTACATCATCTCTTGATTTAAATTTCGGATAATCCAACATAAGGCATAGAGGGAATTATAGGCGGAGCAAATAATCTCATGTATTTACACATTTTTAATGTCTCACAAGTATAAGGATTTGTACTTGCTCCTTCTTTCTAATTAGTTCTATTGTGTAAATATAAGTGTTAACTACACCAATATCCTTATCTCTTTCTATTTCAACCCAATCTGGGATTTCATCTGTCTGTATAAACTTTAGTACTTAAGTAATTTGAAAGGCTTCATAATACTCCCTAGCCCTCCCTTCATGCTTTGACCATATTTGACACTGCTTAAGAATTTTAGTTTCCCCCCCTTTCTCCCCGATAAACTTTTCCAGGGTTTGTTTTTTTGGCCATAATTTTATTTTTTAAATTTCAGGTTGTAATGGTATGTTTTGAAATAAAAATAAAAATGTTGGTAATATATGTACTTTAACTAATGCTCTAATGCTTTTAATGCTGCCCTTTCCTTGGAAGTAAACCATTTAAAAATTTTCAGTGCTATTTATTATTCCTGCTTTCATTTTACTTTTAGAGTGACCCTGGTCAGTGGAAAAGCAGATCACAGAAGAAGGTGGCAGCCTGTGCAGGATGGGGAGCGAGATCTTCTGGATCCAGGCTAGAGAGGTCTCCACAAGGACAAAGAGTTCTGGAGATTTCTGGAAACGAAGTATCTTCTGGTAAGGATCCCTCGGCCACCTGGGCACAGATTTGTCCTGCCAGGATGCCTCGATTCTAACATGCCACTGTTGATAGAAGTGGCCCAACCTTCAAAGGTTCAATGAAGGTCACAACCAATTAATCTCAAATAATCCAAGAACCACCAGTCAACCTCAGAGCTGTTCTGCAATGCGGGCTATTTACTGGAGAAAATGATCATGAATAGAATAGAAACACTCTATTCTATTCTATTCTATTCTAATGACCGTGGACTGGCACAATTCCCCTCAAAGGCCAATCTGGCCAAAGTCACCATCTGGCCCGAACAGTGGCCTCTTCTACTCTGGCCATCCCGGGTGTCCATCGCAGGCATCCTTTCGTTTCCTCATTATCAATTCCAACACTGGATTTTCCAATCTAAATCACGACACATTTTAAATAGTCCATTTTTAGGCCTGGGCTTGATTTCTGGTTAAGTTTTTCTTTTTTTTATCATCATCATCATCATTAGTCATACATACAAAACAAAAAACTAAAACCTGACAAAAAACCACACCAATAACATAAAAACATCAAAAGTAAACATCCATATTGCACCTATAGATCAGACATTTCGCCATTGCCTGGTCATCTAAATATCATCAAAAGATTGTAGTGAACACTGATTCACCATAAACTGTTTCTTCCCCAAAGTTCCTGTCTTTTCCTAGGCCCAATTATATATAAGCTTTCCAGCTTTCCTTTACAAAGTGTCTTGGCTGATCCCGTAGCAACTCTAAAAGCATGTCTAGTTCTGCAATACCCAGTAGCTTCGTTAAGAGCTCGTCCACCGTTGATATTTCTCTGTTCTTCCATTTTTGTGCCCAGAGTAACCTAGCTGCAGTAAATATATACAAGAGACAATATTTTATTTCCTTACCAATAATTTCTGGCATTATATTCAAAATTTCAGATTTAAAACTTAATTTTCCCAAACCTGCAACCATTTTTATTTTGCTTTTTTGCATGACCACCATACATGATAATAAGTCCCCGCATTATTTTTTTTACATTTCCAACAAACATTACCTAATCCCTTCTTACATTTGTGCCAATCTTACTGGAGTAAAATGCCATCTGTGCAACATTTTAAGGATGTTTTCTCTAAGATTAACTGGTTTAATCATCTTATAGTTATCTTTCTACATTTTTGTCCATTCAGCAATATCAATATTATAGCCAAAGTTTTGTGGCCATTTTTCATGCCCTCCTTCAATCTCTCATCCTCTAGATCATACTCTGATAGATATGTACAGTGGTGCCTCGCATAGTGATCACTTGGTTTTACAGCGAAATTGCTTTGCGATTTTTTTTTTGCGATTGCAAAAGCGATCGCTTTACAATGGTCCCTATGGGCTATTTTCACTTTGCGATGATCGCAGGGAAGCAATCATCGCAAAGTGCCCATTTTCACACAGCTGATTGGTGGTATCAAAATGGCCACCGGGTAAAAAAATGGCTGCCCACTGTTTTCAGGCACGGATTCCTTGCTTTAGAAGCACAGAAAATGGCGGCGCTATGGAGGATCTTCGCTTAAAGGTGAGTTTTAACCCCATTGAAGGGGTTTCAATGCATTTCTATTTGGCTTTTTAATATCGCATAGCGATGTTATCGCTTAGCAGCAATTTTTTTGGCACAAATTAACATCGCTATGCAAGGCACCACTGTATACATTTTTTGGATTATTTTCTTTTGTGTAAATCCATTAATTCAGCCACCTGAACTTTCCCCTCAGAAAGCCCATGTTTTTGTCCTTTTTATAGCTTAATTCTAGTTTCAGCACTGAGCACCAATCTGTTGCTAGACCCAGTTTCTCGAGATCTTGTTTATCTTTCATAGCTTAATCTTTATATGTGAGTAAAACTCCTTTCCGATTCAGTACTTTCAATATAAATGCCTCTATTGGTGCCACCCATATTGGGACTTTCTTATAAGTTTCCATTTGAAAATTTTGCCATACCGGACTTAATCCTTTCCTCACAATGTGTTCTGAGCAATATGTCTGTTCTTTGAATTTTCCATACCACACATATGCATGCCAACCCAATTTTAAATCATGGCCTTCCAATTTCAGCAGTTCTTGATTTCCTAATGTTATCCATTCTTTTATCCAGACCATGGCACATGCCTTGTAATATAATACCTATTCAGCAGTCCTAAACCACCTTTCTCTTTTAAATCTTGCAGTTGTAAGTTTTATTCTTTGATTTTTGGCCTTCCATGCAAATTTCGAGATCAGGCTGTCATGATCTAGGTTATTGAAGCTAAAATGTAATTTCTAAATGGGATTTGTAGTCATGGAATGATGTAGAAAGGAAATCATATCAGCCTGTGTCATTTTTCTAGAAGCTTGGAGAAGTTGTTTTCTTTACAGTTAGCTAGGAATGTTATTGTGTAGATAGCGTAGCCAAGGCCAAGCTAGGCGAAGGCAAAGGCGAAGACAAGAAGTCATAACATCGATAAAAGAATGTCAACAACATCTGCAGTTCTCATGAGAAAAGGAGGTTGTTATGGAAAAGGAGAGGCCCAGTAATGAACAAATTTTACTGATAATCAATAAGGGTTTATGACTAACAAAGGGCTAAGCAAAACTGCTTATGGTCGCAGCTGCTGTTGCAAAAATTATTTTAGGATATTGCTTGACTAACACAGAAAGAGGATGTGAACTTAGACACAGATGCCTGGGTCAGCAGAAATGTTCCAGACAAAGTCGAAAACAGGAAGTTAAGTAAACAATGCTACTAACTGTTGACCCAGTGTAACCGATGTACCACAATTATGTGGTTTGGAAATAGCTTTTGCTGAATGTTGAAATTGATACTAACGGTTATTATCAATTTTTCAAAGTCTTATTTATTCAGGTTTTTGGTCAAGAATTTCGTATTTTCATAGTTTATTTTAAGATATAAGAAGGCTCCAGATTCTTCTATATTTCCCAATAATTAATTCTTCCATACTATCCATGGGATTTTCTATTATAAATACTAAATGATCAGCATATGGTTGTAGCTTAAACTCTTCTCCCGATTCTAAGGTCTCTAATTCCAGTATTTCCTCTTACTGTATTTGTCTATTCAAAATCTTTAATGTTAGAATAAAGGGCAACGGAGAAATGGGGCAAACCTGTCTTGTGCCTTGTTCAATTTAGATATCTTCTGTTATTTGGCTGTTGACTTTGATTTTGGCCTTTTATTTAGTATATATTGCTTTAATTCCTTTTAGAAAAGTTCCTACTCCCATCTTCTTCAATTGCAGCAACATAAACTTCCAGTTAAGTTGTTTTTTTTTCAACATCATGGTTAATTTCAGTAATTTCCTGATTGCTGAAATAGTTTCTTCTTATTCTGAAGATAAAACAGCATTCTAGGATAAAGAAGTCCCAACTGCTTGTTCTAAATACATTTTTTTATCAATAAGACTATTTAAAAATGACCTTTTCTACACTGCATCCATTTATATGATTTCTCATCAGAGTGAGTCCACTGTGAGTTCTCTAATGTAAACTAACTCTATGGTTATGACTGAAACTCTTTCCATATTCCATGCATTTATATTGTTTCTCCCCTGTATGAGTTCTTTGATAGGAAATGAGGGAACTGTTCAGATTGAAGCTCCTTCCACATTCCATGCATTTATATGGTTTCTCCCCCGTGTGAGTTCTTTGATGTGAATTCAGGTTACTGCTGCGACTGAAGCTCTTTCCACATTCCATGCATTTATATGGTTTGTTTCCAGTGTGGGTTATTTGATGTAAAATCAGGGCACCACTGTGACTGAAGCTCTTTCCACATTCCATGCATTTATATGATATCTCCCCGATGTGAGTTCTTTGATGGGAACTAAGGTGACTGCTGCGACTGAAGTTCTTTCCACATTCCATGCATTTATATGGTTTGTTTCCAGTGTGGGTTATTTGATGTAAAATCAGGGCACCACTGTGACTGAAGCTCTTTCCACATTCCATGCATTTATATGGTTTGTTTCCAGTGTGGGTTATTTGATGTAAAATCAGGGCACCACTGTGACTGAAGCTCTTTCCACATTCCATGCATTTATATGGTTTGTTTCCAGTGTGGGTTATTTGATGTAAAATCAGGGCACCACTGTGACTGAAGCTCTTTCCACATTCCATGCATTTATATGGTTTGTTTCCAGTGTGGGTTATTTGATGTAAAATCAGGGCACCACGACTGCTTTGACTGAAGCTATTTCCACATTCTATGCATTTATATGGTTTCTCCCCAATGTGAGTTCTTAGATGTAGACGCAGGGAACTGCTGTTAATAAAGCTCTTTCCACATTCCATGCATTTATATGGTTTGTCTCCAGTATGGGTTATTTGATGTAAAATCAGGGCACCACTGTGACTGAAGCTCTTTCCACATTCCATGCATTTATATGATATCTCCCCGATGTGAGTTCTTTGATGGGAACTAAGGTGACTGCTGCGACTGAAGTTCTTTCCACATTCCATGCATTTATATGGCTTCTCCCCTGTGTGAGTTCTTTGATGTAGATGCAGGGAACTGCTGTTACCAAAGCTCTTTCCACATTCCATGCATTTATATGGTTTGTCTCCAGTGTGGGTTATTTGATGTAAAATCAGGGCACCACTCTGACTGAAGGTCTTTCCACATTCCATGCATTTATATATCTCCCCAGTGTGAGTTCTTTGATGGGAACGAAGGTTACCCTTCTGATTGAAGCTCTTTCCACATTCCATGCATTTATATGGCTTGTCCCCCGTGTGAGTTCTTTGATGTAGACGCAGGGAAGTGCTGTTACCAAAGCTCTTTCCACATTCCATGCATTTATATGGTTTGTCTCCAGTGTGGGTTATTTTATGTAAAATCAGGGCACCACTCTGACTGAAGGTCTTTCCACATTCCATGCATTTATATATCTCCCCAGTGTGAGTTCTTTGATGGGAACGAAGGTTACCCTTCTGATTGAAGCTCTTTCCACATTCCATGCATTTATATGGCTTGTCCCCCGTGTGAGTTCTTTGATGTAGACGCAGGGAAGGGCTGTTACCAAAGCTCTTTCCACATTCCATGCATTTATATGGCTTGTCCCCCGTGTGAGTTCTTTGATGTAGACGCAGGGAAGGGCTGTTACCAAAGCTCTTTCCACATTCCATGCATTTATATGGTTTCTCCCCAGTGTGAGTTCTTTGATGTGTACTCAGGTGAGTGCTGTTACTGAAGCTCTTTGAACATTGTAGGCATTGGTATGGTCTCTCACCTCTCAGAGGGTTTTCATGTGAAATAGTCACTGTGCATTTTGATGCTCTTTCCTTCTTATATGCATTGACTTCGTTTCTCCTGTGGGTGGACTGTGTCACGTCTATTGTCATCTGAGGCACCCTTGAATCTTTATCTGCCCAGAGAACCTTTTCTCTTTCCTTTTCCCTGTTGATTTTTTCAGGTGATCAGAAGTGCATCTTCATCAGCAGCAAAATCTGTAGATTTATTTTTTTTCCTCCTGTTTTCTGGCTTCTCCTCCTCCCTTTTCCCTTTTTTCAGTTTGTAGAAGTTTTTTCATGCTTCATACTTGGATTTTTTTCCACTGAAAGAGTGACTCACTACATAGAACTCCAGTTGTCCTCTTCATCACCTAATGGAGAGAGAGAAAGAGATGAAAGAGAAATCCTATCTTCAAAAAGTGGAACCAGGGAACTACAGACCTGTCAGCCTGAAATCTCAGGCAAAAAATTGTGCTGATTACAAAGCAGACGCTCTGCAAGCAGATTGAAAACATTTCAGTATGAACTGAAAGCCTATAGAGAAAGTCTGAAGGGATTGGGCATGTTTAGCGAGACCTGAGAGCACTCTTTTCTAAAGATAGGCCTGAATTCATTTGGGCAACACCGACAAAATTCAATGGTGCAGAATCACTGATGCAGCACATAACATCTCCACATCCCACCGGTGAGCTGGGACAGTCAACTTTTTCTTGTGTACTGCTGAGGTCCTTTTCTCCAGCTGTGTGCCAATCCAGAACAGAGCTCAGCTGGCCCTTCCCTGCCTCCTCTTGCAGTCAACCAATCATTAGGTCAGTGGGGGGAATCCTTGTCTGACTTCCTCACCAGAGTGGTCAGCTGCAGGAAGAGGCAGGAAGGGCTGATCCACTTCCCAGACTGGAGCATCAACAGAGAAGAAGGACCCTGGTAGTGCATGACAAAATGTGAGTGGCCTGGCTGGCTCAGGGGCTGGGAAGAGGTTGTGAAGTTTGTTGTACAGTCAGAATTAATTTGGGTCCATCTCTAATTTCTTGATATGATAGCATCAAGCAGGGGATGGGACTTGATGGCCTGACATCCCCCTTCAAAGTTTAATTATTCTATCATTCGACACCACTGCTGGGGGACTCGCAGTTGCATGACGGGGGATGTGAGGAACGTTGTCTTTGCTGCCCTGTCTGGTTAAGCAAAATAACATAGGGGGAAGTTTCCACTGTGCTCATTAACCTTAAGAACAGCACCCTTCCAAAATACCATTATAGTCTCTTCCATGTGCCACCTCAGATGCAAACTGTGGCAAGTTCTAATAACTAAACAAACAACCCCCTCCCCAAAGATTGAGTGCTAAAATGAGTCCACTACTGCCACCACATCAGGAATGCCCCCTCCTTAAAAGTGCTATCCCATTAGGGGAAGGGGCCAACTTGAATTCCCCGTTTCACCAGCTTTTGAACCCTAGATTGAGTAAAACTAGAAGATGCGGAAATGGAAAAATATGGGCAAGCTTCTAACTGTACATTTTCACTTATCCCCTTATTTGGGGACAAAATGCTGTTGGCTGTGTATTTTAATCCTTGCACATCAGGCTGACCAGGTAGGATACCCAAAGAGGAAAAAATAGCCCACGTTGCTCTTTGGCTAAGGCAGTTCATTTAGCACTCAAACTCTTATTCCCCCGAGGATCACACTTGGGTAAAATATAATATGAAGTTTATTTAAAAGATTAAAAAATTATGATACGTAAGATATTCAAAAGAGATACAAGATGTAGTATTAAATTGCCAAGCTGCCAAAGATTAGCTGAACTTTTGGAAGAAGTTCCTTCCCTAAAACAATAAAAGCTAGCTACCTAGAGTATCTGGGTATAGCATTAATTATAGCATTAGTTATAGCACTAAATACAATGCTATGCTATGTTACCATTGCTACATCTCCCAGTCAATAGAAAGGCTGGAAAACCTGTCACACCCTCCTCCTCCTATGACACACACTTAATCCCCCTTTGTATAATTTAAATCAAAATCTCTGTGTTGTGATGGTATCCATGCCCAAGGTCCAGTCCCTCATTCCCAGACTGTTAAGCAATTAAGATGGTCTCAAGTATTTCTCACTCTTAGACTGCAACCTAGAAGAGGACTTTGGCAGATGAAACAAAGCTATTTCCCAGGCAGAGACACACCACCTGTGGAAACTCTGAAAAGCAAATACTACAAAATCCATTTCCTCACATAAACCAATCAGCCTATCGCCAATACCAGGAAAAATCTCAAACACATTACAAAGCAGACGTTGTGCAGGCACCTAGAAAACAATGCAGTAATAAATAGAACAAATCCTACCAGACTAACCTTGCATGCTCCAACCAACACCGAGTGTATCCAACTACTGGACAATAACTGAAAGGTAGGAGGTGTTAGGGCAGGAATTTTTGGATCCCCTGGTGACACCTTATTAGGCCTGATATAACTGATCAGGGTAATCTTTGTACTTGGAGTTGGTATCGTGTTTGGTACTCAGGGACCACACCACTGTGGGCAGAAGAGGGAGAAGGTTGGGGACTAGTTCAATACAATAGAGAGAGAGTGTGCATGCGTGCGTGTATGCACACGCATACACACTACGAGTGGGTCACACATTTCTATTTCCAGCACAGGAGAGGGTTACCAGAGTGTTTTTGGAGATATAGAGCACACACACACCCCAGGAGAGTGTATCACTGGCTGGAATACAATTTGTTAGTATTTATTTATTTATTTAATTTAATTTAATTTATATCTCACCTATCTGGTCGGTTAAGACCACTCTAGGTGGCTAGAGTCGCCGGAAGGGAGAGTAGTTAGGGCATATAGGTTACATCAACTGTACTGCCCCAGTGAACCCTACGACCATGTTGGCATCATTTTGTTGGGTTATTAGCCTAACACAAGGACAGTTGTCACCAAGAGCCCCTTCCGCTAATGTGGTAATTGAAGTGACACAGCTGATGGCAGACTCATGGAATCCAGTTGTTACATATGCCCTCACCTGCCAAAGGATTCTCAGACAGGCTGGCCTTTTTATGTTCAACATGCAAATTCAACAGAATTAACTAAACCCTATAGCAACTGATCTTCCAGATGATGCCACCTGGGATATAAAATAACCTTCAGTGAGATACTTTCTTAAAGTGGTAAAACCTGCTGCTGGTACCTGGTGTTGAGGGTGTAACGGGACCAGCCCAGCAATAGGATAGAGTAGCTGCCAGATAGATATCCAAATGGGTGGTGCAAGAATGTCAAATGAAACTTGGGCTACTGGCCACACGATATCATGGTACTAAATATTACAGGGTACTACAGTGGTGCCTTACAAGACAAATGCCTCTCAGGACAAAAAACGCACAAGACAAAAGGTTTTGGCAATGGGGGTTGATGACTCGCAAGACAAATGTTCCTATGGCCGTGCTTCGCAAGAAGAATGTTTTCCTTTTTTCGTTCCTGCCTCATGTTTGCTGATTTTTAAAAGTTTTTCTATGATGTTTAAAAAGTTAGTTTTTTTACTGAAATTTTTAACAGCATCTGCACAATATGTACGCCTTCAAAGAGCACTTAATAACCCCTTTGTAAACCAAATCTGACTTTGTTCTGACTTTTTTTGTCCATAAAGGTAAAGGTAAGGGTAAAGGTTCCCCTTGACAATTTTTGTCCAGTCGTGTTCGACTCTAGGGGGCGGTGCTCATCCCCGTTTCCAAGCCGTAGAGCCAGTGTTTTGTCCGAATACAATCTTCCGTGGTCACATGGCCAGTGCAACTTAGACACAGAACGCTGTTACCTTCCCACCGAGGTGGTCCCTATTTATCTACTTGCATTTGCATGCTTTCGAACCGCTAGGTTGGCAGGAGCTGGGACAAGCAACGGGCACTCACTCCATTGTGCAGATTCGATCTTACGACTGCTGGTCTTCTGACCCTGCAGCACAGGCTTCTGTGGTTTCGCCCACAGCGCCACCACGTCCATAGGAACACATTAATTAGATTTCAATGCATTCATATGGGAAAATGCGTTTTGCAAGATGAATTTTTCGCAAGACAACTTTAACCGCGGAACGAATTAAATTCTTCTTGCGAGGCACCACTGTATTTACAATGGATTATGAGATAGCAGTGTAGCAAGTTGTCTCCTGCTTTATGGGGGCATTACTTTATTTGCTGAAAAAGAGCATACACAATACTGCGGCGCAAACAGAGTGGAAATTGTTACGTAGCTACAGTCATGCCTGCTCTGCGAATTCTGACAAACTTGGTAGAAATATGTGCAAGAAAGAAAAGAGATCTTGCCCAGTCATGTCAGTATGTCAAGGATTACAGTCCATTGTCGCATTTTGGCGGTCTAAGGTCCCTCAACCATGCCATGTACTACATACAAGCAGTGGTGGAAATATTAGCGAGACAGGGGGAACTTTGGAGCTAATAGAACTGAGCAACTTGAGACAGTTATCTTTGCAGAACAGGGAGGCCTTGGACATAATCTTGGCTGTTACAAGAAGGAACGTGTAAACGTATTGGAAAGGAGTGTTGTGTGTATGTCCCCGATTATGGGAAACAAAATTGAGGACCATATAAATCATACGGAGGAAGTAGCAGAGTATCCCATATGGAAGAAAGATGGAACCCATTATCCTGGTCACCAAGCTGGCTACCCAATTTAGGGTGG